ACGACGTGAAAAGGCTTCGAGTCATCCGGGAGCGCGAGGATTGGGGCCTCGGCGAGACGCTTCTTCACCGAGTCAAAGGCGGCTTGATGTGCAGAAGTCCACGACCACGACACATCTTTCTTCAGCAACGAAGAAAGCGGCTGGATCAATCCGGCGTAATTATTCGTGTGCTTGTGGAGATAATTTGCGTGACCCAGCCACTGACGCAATTCAGTGGGATTCTGTGGCGTAGGCCACGCACATATCGACGACACTTTCTCGGGGTCGGCGCGGACGCCGTTCTTGCTCACAGAGCAGCCAAGCACCGGAATCTCCGGCGCGCAGAATATGCACTTCTTCAAGTTGACATACAGCTTGTTTTCGCGCATCACTTGGAAGACTTGCCTTAAATGCTTCAAGTGGACTTTAAGCGCGCTGAGGCCTCCCTCAGCGCGATTTTGATCGAAGATGTCGTCGAAGTAACTCAGTGCGAAATCGCGGAGCGGGCGCAGCATATGGGATACCATGCGATTGAACGTGGCGGGAGTATTCTTCAAGCCTTGTGGCATAGCAAGCCACTCCCAGAGCATACCGCTGGGAGTGCTTACCGCTATGAGCGGTATGTCGATCACCCTTATGAGGATTTGGTAAATCTCATCGGTCAAGTCGATGGCGCTAAAGACCTCACTACCCGACATTGCGTCGAGCACCATGTCCTTCCGAGGAATCGGCGTCTGGGTAGGGATGGTAGCGTCGTTCAGCTTGTTGAAGGCATGGACGATGCGCCACTCACCCGTGCCTTTTTTCACACCGAAGGTCGGACTGGAGTGCGGCGATGTGCTCTTACGCACATGACCCGCCTTGCGGCGGATCTCAAAGAAGTCATCGATAGCTTGGACCTGATCTCGCGGGAGCGGCCACTGCCGCGTCACACAATACTTCGAGCCGGGCACGAGATCGATCTCGTGGCGAATTATTCGGGCAGCTGGTAACTCAGCTGGGATCTTATCAGGAAAGACATCTTCATATTCGCGGGCGGACTCGTAGACTGGATTGCTGGATTCGCGTAGCGCTTCCCAAGATTGCGCTGCGAAGCGCTCCTCGCGGACCGACTTCGGTTCAGCACTCTTTGGGCGCGAGGGGGCGTCGTCGTCACTGACTGCATTCACTTCGAGCGACGCCGAATCGGCGTCGGTGATCAGGCAAACCTGTTCGATTTCATCGTCCTTGAGGCCGCGAAGGAAGTTCTTCCAGGAGAGACCTGGAAGTCGAGTGATCGATCCCGCCTCACGAGGTGGGTTGGCAAGCTCGAGTGTTCGTCGGCGACCGGAGGTACCTTCCACATACTCAAGCACGCAGACCGACTCCGTCGGTGGGCTGTCACTTGACACGGGCTCTCGGCGAGGTTTCAGCCGACGCCGCTTCGACTTCCTCTTTCGCCGCCTCGAGTGCGAACTCGAGGATGATGAGTCGCTCTCGCTGGACGAGAGGACACCCCCCCCCCTCTAGCGGGAGCCCCTCCTCGACCGCGGTAGTGTTCAGCAGGAGCGCCAGCCGCTCGACCACCGGCTCAATTGACGGGAGCCCCTGCTCGACCGCCATCTCGATCGTCTGCGGGATCCCCTGCTCGACCGCCGTCTCGTACATCTGCAGAAGCCCCTGCTCGACCGCCAGTTGGTCTTCATCCCCGCGTCGCCGCATGGATTCGTCAGCTAACAGCACAGCGCAAGCCGTGCAGAGAGGGCCATCGCTCACTCTGTGCACAACGTGCGTCGTGGATGACCGGCCCACGACGGTGCCGTAAGGCCAAACCTTCTGGGCGACCAGGTGGTGCGTGCGCACCTTGCTCATATCATAATCAGTGCGACGCTTGACCGATCGGACCAACCAGGCAGTCTCTGGCTGATAGCGCGTCAACCACGGCATACCCAGGATGCAGTCAAACGCGTAATTCATCTTAATGACGAGGAAGTCGTCGTTGCTTTGGAAACCGTCAAACGTGTACGGAAGTGTAATCTCGCGCCGCGCGACGCGGCGTGATTTCCAATCGGCCAACTTGACAGCAACCTCCCCTCTACCTTTGCGGACAGTGATGTCTGACGGGAGTACCGACAAGCACGACGCGCGGAAGAAGTTGTTGGTCGCTCCTGAATTAAGGAGCGCTCGCAGTGGTCGCTAGGCGCCGGCGACATGAAGACTGACAAAAATCAATCTTGAATCTCCCGGCGTGGTGGTGGCATGAAAGTGTGCATGTAGCACAGGAGGGCTAGGATGTTGGGTTGCCACCGGGGGGCCCGGGCCTCCATTCCAGCCAGTAGGGCGCCCCGTACCTACTGACCCTGACTGTTTTTTGGCTGGTCAGATCTCGCGGGCTCGGCATCGACATGCGCAAGCACTGGAGCTGGCGTGCGGCACTCCGCCGCGCGATGACCGACCTTCCGGCAGCGGAAGCAGGTGAGAGAACGATCGTTCCGAGCACTGTTCCGACGCGCTACATGACGCTGACGATTGCTCGTCGCATCGATAGCGTCGATGTCCATGGGATCGGGCGCTGATTCCCAAACTGAAGCAGGTAGCGCGTGAGCGTATGACGCCGCAACCAGGTAGTCCCCGCGTAGTGCGAGGGCAAATGCCTCTTCGAGTGTAGAGGGGTCCGATCTTGTAAGGCAGTAGCGCGTCATTCCTTCGCGCATATCGAACACAAACACATGAACCGGAGAGGCCAAATCGATGGGCTTGGACACGATACACGACGCGAGGTGTCGTGTCGTGTCTTCTGGACGTAGTCGCGCATAATCATCGTGCACTGCCGAAGGACGAAGAAGTCTGCTTGAATTCGGGATTCATCTTGCGGCGGCTCGAACGCGAGCCGAAGGTCACTCTGGAGGGTATCCAGAGTGGGGAAGGCGTTGGAGTCGACGAGGGGGGGCATTCCTTGGCTTTCCTAGACAGCCGCGAGAGGAGGAAGTGGACCTTCGCGGAAGGCGCCTCGATCAACCTCGAGGCGATGGTGATGTCGATCTCTCGAAATCAGCGATTCAGCAGAAGTCGGCACCGGAGTAGGTGGTCGTCTCTAGCTTCACAACGTCATTCGTGGAGATACCCGAGAGAGTTGACACTCGCCGATTCGCATTGGCGAGCTCGCGTTCCATGAATTCTTGTGCCGCAATGCGCTGCTCGTCGGGCGTCGCTGCGCGTAGTAGCGACGTGACGACGGCTTCTCCGGATAGCGCCGCGAGGGGGTGGAGAGCTTCCCACTCGATCCGATTGAGATGGAGGAAAGCAGCGTGGTCGAGGTCTTGGCTCATGTCGAACTTGGTCGCTGGAAGGACTACAAAGTGCTACCAGGTGCAACGGGCCATGCATTTACTCCGTTACTAGCTTACACTATTGTGTTGAGGAAGCTCGCAATAGGATGACTGAGTCTTAGGCTTAAGGAAAAATTAACTCTGACTTTATTTTTTAGGACCAAGGCCACAGCCCTGGCCACTCAAATACACGTCATAGTCCAATTGGCTAATAATGGGTCTGGCTCCCCATATATCAACTAATGATATGACAGCGTTTTAGCACACGCTAGTCGTGTGCCGATGCACCTACTTATGTAAAGAAATCTACCTACTTACTAATGTAATGGAGTAGCCCATTACATGCACTCTGTTCTTACGTCGTTCAAGTGATTCCGTACGAACGCTTTTGCATTTATGTTGATACGACAATTTTTTTGGAAAAACAACAAGCGTCCGGTAATATGTCTTCCTTTGTGCATCGAGACGCATTGGATTTTGATCGTGATGGTTCAGACGTCGCCGACACCAGCGATTTTCCACATGAACAGTCGTGAAGACGACATTGGAGAAAAGCCGCGGCAAAGATTGCTTTGTGTTTTCGGACTGCAATTGTTGAAATAGTCAAGGCACCGGTTAAGAAAAAGGTGACGACTCTAGCAGCGGGGTTCATATGATTAGTCACCTTGAATCTGTCATCAAGATCGTTTATTCTACTCGAAATGATGAAGATGTCGCGCAACGTCTGACAATTACCGAATTCAAGAAGAAGAGTCTTCGAACACGAGCCGCCTTAGCCAAGGACTTAGAAGATGCGTTTCGACACACCGGCCGCTGCTTGACGAATTGGACAGAATACGTTTGTAATGACAAGACATTTTGGTGGCCTTGTCTCTTGATGCGTCGACGCCTGGCGGAGAGATTTTCGACACGTTTGAAAGATAAAGGTGGATACGTGACGGTTGCCATGTTTAAGAAGGAACCTTTTAATGTGGTTTGGATCAACTCCACTCGCATACCATTTTCCGATTGGACCAACGAAAAACTTATCAGCGAATGTGGCAAAGAAGTTATCAACGAGTGTGGCGAAGAAGTTATCGGCGAATGCGACGAAGAAGCTATCAGCGAGTGTGGTGAAGAAACTATCAGCAAGTGCGACGAAGAAACTATCAAGCGTCGATCTGGCAAAGATTTTTGTTCCCGTCTGCGCGAAGCCTACGCACAAGCCTTATATTTTTAGGTCTCGGTATCAATGTTAGCCTTATGAATGCCATAGCCGTTAAACTTAAAAACAATTAATCTCAGTCAAAACTACGGGTGAAGTGACAGTAGCTGCTCGATGTCTTTTGAATTTTTTGTGTGGCTGACCACGAATCAATATAGAAAATAATTGCTACTCGGCAGCGCAAACATTGGAAGCTGCGGAGTAAGTGGTGGACGCAGCGATGTACAATCGGTGAAAAGGAGTGCCAGCTTCGCCCATCAAAACGAATCGACGAGCTGAGCATCGAAGTGAATCAAGCCATTATCGAAGAAGTAGAAGAATGACAGCAACGCTATGGTAGCTCTGTAAGCAGTGACCGGCATGGTCTAGCTGTAACATTACAATGGAACTTCTATAACGTTAGCATTACCATCATACTCGACATCGCTCGTATGAACCATTTTTATAAAACCCGTTGTCGTTCTTTTTACATTTCAAACTTCATAAGCAATCAACTTCAACTGATGTACTTACGGACTAGTGACCTTGGCTAGCCACTGCGACAGGATAGCGTTGACGGCTTCAGGCTGCTCAAACAACACCCAGTGTCCGGCATCCTCGACCAGCTCCATTTGGAGGTTAGGAATCACCTTTGGCATCTCCTTAGCCATCTCTGGCTTGAGCACAGGGTCATCAGCTGCGCCGATGAACAGCGCAGGGTGCTCGATCGTTCCCGGGAGGTCCTTCTCCGTCTCGAAATCGATCTTCTTGGTCGCGTATACCCTGTTGGCACTCGTGAACTTGCTCTGCGTGTACTGGTCGATGTAGTACTGGAGATCGTCCTCCGACAGCATTTCCGTGCGCTCGTTGAAGATCACGTGGTCCACGTCGGTGTTGACAGCCTTAAGTAGCTCATGCAGCGGCAGAGCTTCCTCTTTTGGACCGTATTCTGTCTTGCGACGGAAGATAGCAGTCGCCAGACGACGTGGTGAAGCGTCTAGTGCCTTGCCAGAGCTCTCAGCATCCGCCAAGAACAGCTGGTACTTGAACTGAGGCATGTACTTGCACAGGTCCTCCAGCGACATATACTGCTTCCGTGGTGGCACGAACGGTGTACACACACCACACACAGCAAGTACGCGATCGGGATGGTACAGAGCCATCCTCCAGCTTGCATTTCCACCCCAGTCATGTCCGAGAATCACCGCCCTCTCGATCTTTAGCGCGTCTATTGAAAGGCACAGCGAACATGTCATTAGTCGTCGCATATCTAAGCTGTTCTTTTGTAGCATACCCAGCAAGGCAACGATGTCACTGGTGATGTTCTTCGTGCCGTATGCCACCAAGTCCTGCGGCGTCGAGCTCTGGCCGAAGCCACGGACATCAGGAATGATGAGGCGGTATTTCGGAGACAGCGCCTGGATTTGGTACTGCAATGCACACACACAGATCAGAAACACTGGAGCACGGCTTCGATATTCAGCGTTGGAGAAGCTTACCCGCCATCCAAACCAGAGGTCAGGCCATCCGTGCAGCATAACGACCGGAGGGCCATCTCTCGGACCAACATCCACATAGTGAATCCTGATGCCCTCGGACGTCGTCACGAAGCTGTGCGGCCATTGTTTCCACACGGACGAGTCCATGTGCTTGCGAGGATGCGCCATGTCGAGTCAACTTGCTGTAGACTTGGAAAATTGCCAACTGAGCTCAGCGACACACCGCCAAACAGCCTGATCGATCGATTACAGTACAGTCTGTAAGGTGGCACATGAGACTTTGGTGCTTTTAGGATTGTGCCGGGTAATCAACATTTCACGTCAAGTCATCAGGTTAGGCCGCTCAATTTTGTGATTCGACCCCGTAAACTTCTCACACTAAATTGATTCGCTGATGTCCTAAAGCACTCGCGACAGGAACTGCAGTCGGTTTACCGATCGTATTAGTTAAGTGAGCCATGAGCTTCCACACCTGAATTGATGCGCTGACGCACTATTAACTCTTTGAACAAGAAATGCAATCGATTGGCCAGTCCTGGCTGGACTCCTGCAGCCGTACTACGGCCCGTAGCTCGTCCAAACATTGAGATTGGAGGTGATGAAGACGATCGAGACGAGCATTGCTTACAACTTTGCGTTGAGATTGCTAACGCTCGCAATGTTCGCCAGCCACTCGGACAAGATCGCATTCACCTCTTCTTTCTGCTCCCACAGCACCCAGTGACCGGCATCTTCAATGACCTTCGTCTCCAAATTCGGGATTACCTTGGCCATGCCTCTCGCCATTTCAGGCTTGAGCACTGCATCTTTAGCAGCACCAATAAATAGAGATGGGTGCTTAATCACTTTGGGCAGGCCCCTCTCATTCTCAAAGTCGATCTTGCCCGTAGCATAAGTTTGGCACGTGCTAGCGAACTTACTGATGGAGTACTGCTCGACGTAGTAGTTCAGCTCAGCGTCGGATAGCAACGTCGAGCGCTGTGTGAACACCGGGTGGTCCGCGTCCGAGTCGACGGCCTTGAGCATCTTCGGTAGCGACATCCGGGACGCGCGAGGACCCATTTCCGACGGCTTACGGAGCATCGCAGTCAACAGACGACGCGGCGAGGCGTCAAGAACTTTACTCGAGACTTCGGTGTTGGCCAGGAACTGCTGGTACTTGAACTGTGGCACTTTCTCCACCACCACCTCCAAGGGCACGTAGGTTTTGCTGGGTGGGATGTACGGCGTGCAAACTCCACAGACAGCAATGACTCGTTCTGGATGATACAGACACGTTCGCCACACATGACTTCCACCCCAGTCGTGGCCGATAAAGACAGCCTTGGCAATATTGAGCTCATCTAAGCGGACAGCAATAAAAGGATAAGTTACAGTTTATGTTTACCACACGTTGAAGTTGTGACAAACCCAATAGTGCCATCAGGTCGTTGGAAATGTTCTTGGCTCCGTAAGCCTCGACGTTTGCTGGTGTCGAGCTCTGACCAAAGCCACGGACATCTACAGACAACAATGACATTAGCAAATAGCCAAAACTATAAATTTTGATCTGTTATTAAAACTATATTTTACCGGGTACAATGAGTCGATACTTGGGGCTTAGCGCTTGGATCTGGTGCTAGATTAAAAGCAAGACAGATTTCGTTCAATGCATGTACAGTTTGGTTGAAGGAAATGAATCGGGGATGCACGCACCCGCCAGCCGAACCAGAGATCAGGCCACCCATGTACCATCACGACAGGGAGGCCGTCGCGAGGGCCCACGTCGACGTAATACAGACGGATGCCCTCGGGTGTCTCCATGAAGGCATGAGGCCATTGCTCCCACACCGCCCTCTCCATTGCGCCAGTTCTCGAAATGAGCTTCAACGTATCAAGCGTTTCGTCAACCGAGTCCTCGTGTTGTGATTGGTCGTTAATTCATTTTTGTATCGCTTCAATAAACCCTGCAAGAAAGAAAGGTTTTATTAAAATCTGAAGGATGATTATTTAGAATTCACCGATATTTAGTAAATGTAAGAAAAAATGTGGGAAAAATGAGAAGATCACAAGGACATCTCGATTTCAAGGTATCGCAACTACAGTGGTCACCACGTTACTTGGTCTTCTTGCTCTTCTCAAACGCCTCCTTCTCGTACTTCTCGATCTTGCCCTTAAACAGTGTGGGCAACAGTGCCACAAACTGCAGCAAGAAGAGTACAGCAAAGCTGACTGCGTTGCTTCCACCTGAGGCCCCCGCAGCACTGTTGAGTGTCGCGCCAGTCGAAATGTGCAGGAAGTTGGCTGGGACCAAGCCAACCAACGTGGCCAGGAAGAAATACTTGAAGGGGACGCCCACAAGTGGACAGGCGATATTGACGAACCAATTGGGCAACAGGGGTGTGATCCTCAGAAATAGCAAGTAGTAGAAGAGGTTGCCTTGATTTTGGGCGATCTTCTCTTTGAAGCGGCCGATCATCCCAGCTAGCACTTTATTGAAGACGCCGCGGCCCAAGAAGTAGGACAGCATGAAGCACAGCGAAGCGCCCGTCGTGGCACAGAAAGCTACCAGAATCTGAGCCTGCACGAATGGATACATAGCTCCCGATAGGATGCTCAGCACGATGGGGCCGGGGATGGCAAACGTTTGCAACGCGATATATACGATACAGAAGCTTGAGAGCACGAAGGCGGCGTGATGCTCGCGATACTGGCTCGCACACTGCCACAGCCCCTGGACTGTGCCCATTTTATCATTGCGTCCATTCAACCAAGTGGGCAGAACGCCACGGATCACGTAGGATACGGAAATGGCCTCGCACTCGGAGCTGCAGTTTCGACGTTGCAGATTGCAAGTTGTGGCACGTTAGAAATGAGCTCATGCGCTTGTAGATAGATACAGCAGCACGTACAACTCAGCTTCAGGGGCGTTTTGGAAGAGCACATAGATGCCCGTGATGGCGCCGACGACGAGTAGCGCGAGTAGTGCCACCTGCGAGAACGACGTCTGGGTCTCCATTGTTACTGACGTGGCAGAAAACTACGTCAAAGTGCAAACTTGAGCTTGAATCCACTTAAGTACGATCGAAATCTATTTAAGTACGATCTGGCAGCTTGTAATTTACAAGTTGTAAATACCTGTATTTTAGGTCTGCGAGTTTGTAAATAGCAGGAAATTTGAACGCGAGTGAATACATGAGATAAGCCCAGGGGGTTGTTGCTGCAACCTGCCAGCAAAAGATCTCACCAGCACCAGGATTCTTGAAAAGCAGAAAATCCAGGATAGGTGCGATGAAACTGAGTTTCGAATCAAAGTTTTGATTGGTGGGGGTTCGACGATTGAAATGTACGAAAATGGTCAAAAGAAGCAGCCACGCTATTAATATCCATGACCTGCACAGTACTGGAGCACTTTCCGAAAAGATCAAGAATTCAGAAACGATTCACATCTACTACATTGTATCACTAGTAATTTTTTATAGATCTCGGCCTTAAACTTAAAAGAAATAGTAACTATTACAACGCTCATGTTCTTGCGTAGTTACGAATTTTACAGTACAGATTGTACAACAGTATTTGTACATGTAAGAAAAACTTCGAGCTAGGTCGCAATACAAATACAGTTTTTTCGAATTGGGCCTTTTCGAGTTTTGATAGGTAAAATTTAATTTATAAAATGTCTTTCCGGTGTCTGTATCAACTATGAATCGCCTCATCAATGATAGAAGGGATGCACTACTGGACAACGTGTGCCTGGATTCACTGGATAAATTTGTGAGGATAAACATTCTATCTTCGAATACAATTTATTAAATAAATATATATAGTCCACAGAAGCCGTGTCGGCAGCACAATGTGCTTTTCTTGGGCTTCCCGCAGATCCATTTTGCAACTGTTTCTTTTATTCGTTGTAGCCAAATTGGTTAAGAACACCCTCCTACTTGATGAAGAATGGTCTGGCGACTGCTTTAGATCAGCGGCGCCAAATAATTGTGTACGCGAAAGTATTGCTCAATGACCGAATTTGCACAACACACCTCAAAATTCTCGGTGGCAATTCGTATTAGAGATGACTTTTATACTGCAACAGAAAGTAAGACAACATAGAAGACCCCCTTCATCAGATCAGCTTTTATAACTGGTATCTACCGGCTGCGCTCAACTGTGGCCGGTACATGTACAGCGTACTTTAGTACAATGCGCGACTTTTTTTTTGCTATCATTTTCTGTGTTTGTGAGCAAATGCTCGAGCTTTAATGCTTATCAAGGGCGTCTGAACAAGACGCCGATTACATGGAACGAACAAAACAACAGCAAGGACCGAGAATCTATTTGTCAGCAACTTACGAATTCATCATACTCACCAGAATTTTTTTTGCCGGTGACACGAATATTGACCCAGGTTACACTACGCGTTTCGATCTACACAGTAACGTGGAAATAATCCAGTGTGGGCTGCCCATGCCTCTATGAGGCATTCCCAGTACATGTAAAACGTTACATGTACTAAGTACATTGTACTTGTATTCGAAGCATTTTTCTCACAGTTCGATTGAATATTGTACTGTACTTGTATTCGAAGTTTTTTCTCACAGTTCGAACTTCAAGTCCCGCAGGCGAATGCTACTTTTCAACGAATGCTGAATCACCATTGCTGATCATCAGCCTGATACACTGTGCAGCTTGAAGGGACTGACTGTCAGTCTGACAACCTTGACGTGGCTCATTTCCTCTTCGGCATCAAGCTGCTCAAATCCAATAAATATCAAGATGACACTCTCTCGTCTAGAACAGCACATGCAATCGAAGTTCACGGCTCACCGAGTCTTAAACTACACGCCGGAAATGATACAGAACACTAAGGTAGCTACGGGGATCACGATGGCGTACCTTATCCAAGAGATAGGCGAAGGCATCTTTGAGGACGAAACTCGATTGGTGCTGGTCATGGGCTACGAATATCGAAAGGAGGAGTGGGCCCCACTCGTCGATGGCTTGCTCACTCAATGGGAGCAGAGTGCCTCTGGCAAGAAACTCAAGATCCTCACATTGGACAACCGAGGCGTTGGTGGTACGGATGCCCCCTGGGGCAAATACTCAACGTCGGGTATGGCTCAGGACACTTGGCACTTTTGGACGCCATTGGCTGGGAGACTGCTCACATCGCTGGAATTAGTATGGGAGGTATGATCTCTCAGGAGATTGCGCTGGCTGCTCCGGAGCGGCTGCAGTCTCTGTTCCTCTTGGTGACTAGTCCGGGGTCCTTCACGCCTGAAGCTTCTGCATACCCTGCGATCATCACGACGCTGGTCTCTTCGGACATGGACAAGGTCACGAACGCTATGTTGTCTTTCCTGTATCCGGAATCATTCTTGGCTTGCAGGAATGGAGATAGCGGTACTATGCACGACGTGTTCTTCAAGTACCACAAGGAGGTGGCCGCCACGCTGGGAGCCCCGTCATCGTCTGGTGCTCTCGGCCAAACAGCAGCGCTGGTGCTTCACAGCGTCTCGGACAAGAAGCTGCACAAGATCCGTGACGCTGGTTTTCCGATCCTTATCGTCGGAGCGAGGCAGGATCGGTGCATCAACGTGTCGCACTCACTTCACTTTAGCGAAGTACTTGCGAGTGATCATACTAGGATGGTGATGTATGAAGATGCTGGTCACGCTTGCTTTTTGCAGCATATTGATGAGATTTCCGACAACATTCTGGATGTAGTGCAGAGTACGAAATTGCCCGCGCCTGCCAGCTAACTGGACAACATAGCTGATGCGATTAAGCTGTTATCGGTTAGTCCTCTGTACAAAGATCGACAAAGTGAACAGCGACATTGGTAAGACCGGTACTGATGTTTCGATTAATGGTTGTGACGCAGCAAGACGTTGAATGAGTACTTAAGGAAAATTAGAGCTTATACAGCGCTTTCGGTTTACTAGTCGTACTGTTAGAAGTTCCGGACCAAAGTTTCCGTTCTGGCCTAATCAGGCATCATATCCGTCCTCTCGGTCATTTAAAGGCAAAGTTGTGGAACTCGAGCACTTGAAGTCATAGGTGTATTGTCCATTTCTGCTTGGAGTTGATATTGTAGTGTCCACATTTGACTGTATATGGTAGAGCACGCATTGCTTTCATTACGAAATTCACAAGGGTGGCGACGCTCGCCTCATGGTTTCGATAACCTCGTCAGCGATTTCATCTGCGTACTGGCAAATAGCACCGTGGCCTCCAGTATCGAAGAACAGTGTGTGCACGTGCTCACCACTTAGATGCTCCTTAAGGACGATAGACTCGGCTGCTGGAATAACGTCGTCCAACATCGCACTGACGATTAGAATCGGGAATCCAGCATCGTCCATGTCGTGCAGCCTCTCGTCCGATACGAAGTGTGTCTGAACTGCTGCCGTCTGGCCCATGACGCCACTGAGACTCGGTTCAGGCCATTTCTTCAGTTGCAACTCGTACATGCGCGCAATTGCAGAGCGCACACTCTCGCCTGTTTCAGCTATCCTCGTTGTGGCGACGTACTCCTGCGGGAACAGTGTGTCCACCATGCTGTTCGCCTTCGCTGGAACAGAATTAAACGAAAAAGTTTTGCGAACCATCAGACCCAGCGACCGTCCACTCGCCTTGTATCTGTCGCGGCTGGTGGAAACCAGCGTTAGTGAACGCACTCGACGGAGATCGAGTAGTGCCAGCTCTTGTGCAACCATGCCGCCCATGCTGCAGCTCAAGGTTAAAAAACGTCAGTCACAAACTAGAGTCAGCTACACACTCAGAAGAGCAAACACACCTGCCACCAACAATGTGTGCAGAACGCCAGCCGATGTGGTCCATCAATGCGAGAATGTCCTCCGCCATGGTGCGTGTCGAGTACATGCCGAAGGGTGCGTCCGTTCCGCCAAAGCCGCGATTGTCCAGTACCAAGATGCTGAGGCCCACACCGCGCTGCTTCTGGTTCCACTTGGGCAAGAACGAGTCGATAAAGTGCGCCCACGTGTCCTTGGGCTGCATGAAGCCTGCAACCAGCACCACCTGTTCCACGCCCACAGACGCGTTCATTGGTGGCAACTCCAGCACGGCATAGCTGACTGTGATTCCTGTCGAGATGAACGCCTGTTTTGCGACGCCCTCGCCAAAATACTTGGGTGCAGCGTAGAGTGCCTCCACTTGACGTTGCGTGTGAATGCCCGGAGAGGACACAACCTCGGGCTCGAACGGCATTACTGGAAATGTGGTGCTGTCTTTTGGCGCAAATCTCAAAGTGACTGCGCAAACATTAATGGCCACGCGCTTTCGGACCGTCTGTCGCCTTTTCGTTTGCGCGATGTGACCTGATATTAATAACGGTCTTCCGCCCTTCAGCGGCCCTCAAGCCTGGAGGGCATACACTGTACGAGTGTCGACTATTTGAGTCTGTGCGCGCGACGTGGAGAGCTGAAAAATACCATAGCCTCGAGGAGTCTGGGAAGTTTAGAGTCTGTATCAGAAAAAAGTGTTGCCTCTGTTGCAGTGAGGATGGGGATGGGTAGCCTGAGTACTATCACAAGAAATAAAAACAATGACAGCCCAAGCAGCATGAAGCATTCCGAGCCACGATAAGGATGTGCGACGACGGCAACTTGTCTTACCTGCACTAATGTGAAAGGGTTGATTTTACTGTGATAGCATGAGTAATAGCCCACTGTCATCCTTGAAACCTGATTTTCATTCCATGTTCGCCATTTCGCTAGACGTGCACTGCTTCTACCCGTCAAAAGATATCTAAGGGCCGATTTCTTGCAAGTGGATGAGAGTTAAGGTGGATGGTACTTTTTGTGCTTGATTCGGCTAAGAGCAAACTTAACCCCTTCAACCCGGTAGCTGTATAAGCTGCGTTTGAAATCAGCTGTTACGCTGTATATACAGCGTAGTGGTTTTATACCTAAATAAACTATACTTGTTTCTGACAGATTCACAAGGTATACAAAAGCGAAGATTAAAATTTGAGAGCCGGAAAATGTATCTTCCTACAGATGAGTCTAAAGAGAGAGAGAAAGGCCGCTTCTAATTTCTCGATTTTTTTTTGATATTATAAGTGCCAGGTTTGGCACAGTCTTTCGAAGCAGTATACTTTTTGGGAGGTAAATTTCGCGCCCTTTTCGCAAGCTTGAGCGCCAGTCAAAGATTTTCTGCGGTGGACAACAAGCGGTTGAGAACTCGTGATGGTGGGGACCCGCGAAACATCTCGAGGGAGTTGTTCTGGCGGAGCAACTCCGGTACCTGTGCCCGTGCGGGGGGCTGACAGCTTCCGCGTACTCTGGGCTGGCCTTAAGTCGGCTGGGTGGACCGCGAAGCCACCATCAAGCCGAAGCCTAAATCATTTCTGGAAGTACATCAAGCCAGGCGGTGATCCCAGTGGAAAAGAGGGAGTGGACTACTTTCTTGGAGAGCAAGCTCTATTACTGTACTCTCGAGAAGGTTTGCCATACTTTGAGTTGTTTTGGTTAGTCTTTATTGACGTTGCTAGTTGTATTACATTTGTGTATAGTGGTGAAGAGAAATCACGAAGCTCAACTCCAGCAAGAGCGACAAATCGCAGAGGCGGATAAAGGTGTTTCTCCTTCTGCGGCTTCTTCTGCGTCAGCCGCTGTTCCTGTTGCTACAGCTCCTGTCGATGCTGCTGCTGACCAGCAACTTGGAACGCTACCTGAACACCCAGCACCAGGTGATGTGGTCGCTGAGAGTGCGATATCCGCACCTGTGCCAACTACTCCAGGTAATGTTGCCTCGCGCTTTGTACATTTGATATGCTGTATCTAATGATGTATAAGCTCTTTTTGCTGTATCAGCCGTCATGGCTGATACAGCTGTATCAGCCGTCATGGCAAGTGCAGTCAGCGACTCCCGGTCGGCGCAACCTCCCCCAAGGCGTGTAGCTTTGTCAAATACTCCAGGTGATGTTGCATCGCGCTTTGTATATTTGAAATGCTGTATCTAATGATATATAAGCTCTTTTTGCTGTATCAGCCGTCATGGCAAGTGCAGTTAGCGACTCCCGGCCGGCTCAACCTCCCCCAAGGCGTGAAACTTCGTCAGCACCTTCGACTTCCGTGTCCCGTGCGCCAGGTGAGGAACAATTCAGTCGATTCTGCGCTACGATGCACTGCTAACTCGTTATTCAATGCTGACTGTGTGCTACCGTTAGCCAATGCTAGTAGCAAACCAAGCGGCTGTCGCAACAATGATAGCGACTTGCAGCAACCGAGACGACACCATAGTCCTCTTCCTGCTCGTGGAGAAGATGAAGAATCGAAAGAAGAGAGTCGTACTGGCGATTTGGGTAGGATTACTTTCTTGAGTTGGATATACATCGTACATCATACATCGTATGCCTAACACGTACATTATGCTGTATTATTTGGTGTATTAGGTACCCACGACGTCGTTGACATGCTAGGTGACGGTGACGACGACTTGAACGCACCTGAAGGCAGTGATGATACCTACTGTGTGCTAGACTCGGGGACCGAATCAGAGGAGATAGACCTGGACGATTTGGATGTCAGTGACGCTGACTCGTCAGGATCAGATACGATCGATGAAGAGGACGATGACATGTATGCAAAGGAAGAACGCCATTTTGCAGACAGTTTTCTCAACTCAATCGGTGGCCACGACAGCGTTCTGGCTGGTGATATCATCGGACCTGCACTGAAAGATCTCGGTACTACTGGATGGCATGATCCCGAGACGCCCAATGTCACGCAATATCTGCAAACACCGTACACTCCTGTTCCATCTAGCGACGAGTATCCAGATCTGATGGGTGAACGCGGTGGACCGACTGAAGAGGCTTTGAAGCGTGGAGCGTCGCCTATCGCACTATTCTTCATGTTCATCCCAGTGGCGCTGTGGCAGCATATAGCAGAGTGCAGCAATCTTTACATGCATGAGCAGCTAGATGCCCGTGTGGATGCCTATTTTGAGAGAAAGGAACAGCAAGCACAGAAGGCGCGACGAGCTGGACGCGCAGTACAACAAGAAAAGAACAAGACAAGACGAGATGTACGCCAAGAGTTCCATTCGGTGAAGCCGATAATGCCGCACGAGCTGTGCGTCTACATCGGCCTGTTGATAGCTCGAACAATCATGCCAAATCGCGAAAAACTAGCGAACCACTGGAGGCTGTCAGAGCAAGGGGCACTTCCAAGAGGCACATTTGGGAAATTTCTCTCACGAGATCGATTCATGCAACTCACTCAAAATCTCCACTTCACGAGCAACCAAGACCCACGTGCAAAAACCGATCGCGTATGGAAAATTCGCTCTGTAGTGAACGTGTTGCAGCAGACGTTTGTGCAGTACTTCAATCCTCCAGCAGAGCTTTCGTTTGATGAAGCCATGCTACCGAATAGAAGCTCGTTCAATCGGACAAGAGTGTACATGAAAGATAAACCCCACAAATGGGGTACAAAGCTTTTCATGCTCTGTTGTGCTGTGTCCGCTTATTGTATTCGGTAAGAATGCTGTCTTCGTTCTGCTGTATGCGTTTACTTATGATCTGTATGCTGTGTGACAATGTACAGCTTCGAGGTGTACTGCGGCAAGAAGCAGCACATTGCGGAGTCAGGTGCTGTGGACATGAAGTCCGGCCCTGCTGCCGTTGTTCGTAACCTGAAAGCTGTGTTTGGAGATAAGCCTCCAGAGAAAGCGATGCGACTTGTCGTTGTCGATCGGTTCTACACGTCTATTGTGCTAGCCGTACAGCTACTGCTCATGGGGTTTTACACAATTGGTACAATCATGACAAACAGAAGAGGCTTCTGCAAGGCGGTGGTGTCTAGCAAGAAGACTAGGCCGAAGGGTATCCCGAGAGGAGCGCTCACGTTTGCTCGGTCTAAGCATGTAAAAAAGATGACTTCGATATGCTGGTGGGACAGCAAACCTGTGCATTTCCTATCGGTTGGTGGAAACCTGGAGCTAGACCGTGTGGTTAGAAGGGAGAAGACCGGAGAACAGAATGAAGTGGCGTGCCCCAAGGTCATCAAGGACTACCATAAGTTTATGGGCGGAGTTGATGTGCACGATCAACTCCGCCTGCAACGGTACTCCGTTCAGCGTTCGATCACATTCCGGAAATACTATAAGTCACTGTTCCTGGGGCTGGTTGATCTCGCGATTACAAACGGGTACATCGTGCACAAAGCATATTGCAAGCAGAGGCAGATTCGAGCGATGACACACGCGCAATACATGTGCAAGCTGCACAAGCAACTGATCACACTTTCCGTGGAGGATATGTACGAAGAGAACACTTTCAGCACAGGTAAGCACTATTTGGTTGACATGCTGTATGTACTGTTAACATTAACGTGTATATACAGATGGCTACACTTCAGTCGAGGAGCGCGAGTCCGTCGATGCCAGCGGACACGTGCCGAAACTAAATGAAGAGTGGCGAGACCATTCCGGACAGAGGAAGCGAGTGCAGAAGAACTGCAAGGTATGCACAATTTTGACCGAAGATGGCAAGAGGGGGGCCACCACAACGTACTATTGCGATGGGTGTGACTTTCCGGGGCCAATATACTTGTGCACGAAGCCGAAGTGGCCAATGAAGGGTACAATCAAGAGCTGTTGGGACGTGTGGCACAATGAATACAAGAACGGCGCTGAAATTCCAGCGCACAAGAAGGGTAAGATCCGAGTGCGCGCGGCAAAGACTACAGGATCTCCTGGCAAGTCTCCTGCCAAGCGCCGCCGTGCCGCTGCTGCCTCCCCAGGATAAATTCTGTGTGATCAATGAAGTAGCTTCACTATTTGCGTCTCTCTTGATGTTGCGACTGCCATCCCGTCTTTATCCACGTTTTGGAGGTGTGTGGATGCACTTGTTTGATGACAAGGAGTATGTTAGAAAGTTTGTATGCACGGCAGTCTCGACATCAGTTGATTGCAGGAAAATGGCACTGCATTTCAGTATGCCAGTGCAGACGCCCTGTTTGTGACACATTTTTCACATTATTAGAGATTTTTTCTGCTACCCAAGTGGCACACACCACACTACAAGCTGTATATATACAGCGCAATCCCCCCATGATATACAGCTTAATCAGTGCTCGAGATGACTTGATCATTTTTACCCGCCTATCTTCTAATCCTTTCCCGCGTTTGTATACAATTTCCTATATGTTAATGCGATGTATATACAGCGTTAGGGTGTGGAAAATCAGCCGGGTTGAAGGGGTTAAAACTGGTGGATGGCCTTAGTGGCTAAGGTTGAAGGAGGGGTGGTTGACATCTAATATTAGCTTATAACTGCGATGTATCACTTTGATCGCTTTGCATTTGTTCTATTGCACTATCGCAACAAAATGCGCACACCCAGCGAGATCATAGCGATCACTCGTCGTCTTCGCGATCGAGCCAACGTCCAATGGCGATAGATTGACAGGGGACCGTTGGTTGCTGATGTGGACTGAGTGCTTCAGGAGACTTGATGGAATGAGCTGTATAAACTCAATGTGTCGTTCTATCCCGTCAGGTATGTCTCTCCTCCCGTCCACCTTCCGTCCACGGCCACCAACCCTATGCCATATGGATCCAAGTGAAATGATTGGGCCATGGAAGCATAATCCACCGTTATTTTTTGGCTAAGAACGGCCCTAAGCCTGAGCAAGCGCGTGTCAGATGAGATGAGCTTCTTCTCGAACATAATATGTTTCATAAAGCTTTCGATAAAAGCTTGAACGAGTACAGTACCCCACAACTGTGCGAATCCAGCTGCTGGAATTTCCTACTGACACTTCTTTTCTACAATTTCTCCCGAACGTCCGTCCATGACGGATTGCACATCTTGAATTGCTGTAATGCCCTTTCGGCGCGCATGCCATTGAACAACACAAGGAACTATTGTACACTTCCACAACATGTACCATAATATCTACAATCCGAGTACACTGTCCCACACCATAGTGGATCCACAATGTGGAATTGGATATCTCAGATATAAACTGCTTCTAATCGACAGACTGCTCCATCTCGTACCTGCACATGGTGTCCGCAATTAACCCTTTAGAACCTGAGAGTTAGAGTCCCCGCAGGGGCTTAAAAAATTGCAGTCGCTTACTGACAGAAAGTACCATTCCAAAAGACGCGCACAGTAGCACGATGTGGTCGAGTCCCTCACGGTGTCTCTAAGATGGTCAATTGATCTCCTCTTCAAAGAACCCAGAGGCTGGGCGACGTGCTGAGTGCTTTAAATCTTCTGGGAGACTCCCTCTACCTGCAGCACCTCCATTCCCCCCCCCTGCGATCTCAAAGTCTTGTTGGCAATGGATATTGAGCTGCTCTTATCAGACTGGGAGAAAATCGTGGATGGGCCCCCAGGTGCGGAAGAGCGAGACGACGCAAGCGACGAAGATCTATATTTTAGCCGCAGCATTCTTAACACGCTGCTTCGGTGGTTAAATCCTCGCCTCTCGTAAAAAGTGGTCCCTGGCATAGCATTACGCGAGCTCAATGCCTACATAGGGCTCGAGATTGTCACTAGCGTATGCCCTTCGAACCACCTGCGTGATTATTGGTCGTCGAACGAGCTGTATGGACACCAGCTTTTCCGAGAAACAATACAACTTGATTTTTTTCTTGGGATCCAGTCCGCCTTGACGCTGCATCCTGTTGATACTGTACCCGAAGAAGTCAAGGTAAGAGATCCGTTATGGCATTGTCGAAGCATTTCGAACAACATTTTGAGGAAATGCGCCACTTTCGCAGTTCCAAATGGAGTATCTGCGCTGGTGAGAGCTCAATTCAAACTAAAGCTCGATCTGCAGCGAGAACTTTCATCCCCTCGAAGGCCGACAAGTATGCAGTACGATTTTACGCATTTGTCGAGTGGATAACGCTATAAGTTCACGGTCTGTTCGACAATGGGAGTGGCAGCACTGTCGCAACGGGCATTTAGAACGCTACACCGCAATTTTTGCAGAGCTTCGGGGAGTTACGGCAACAAGATGTGATCAAGCCGGGCTAGACTCTAAGAGCCCTACCGCACTTTTGGTAGCGATGTTGTTTCAACAGAATCATCAACTGCTTTCTCCGAGTGGTAAACGACTTGTTGCCAAGGATTCCTACTATACAAGGCATACAATGGCGAGGCATGTGCTTGGTTGACTTTGGGTGAGACGAGAGTGATTGGAACATGCAAATTAAATTATGGGGATACTTTTTCTCGACCTGCGGTTGAGTCGGTTCTGGAGGTGAACGATGCTGAGCGGTACTGCTGGAAGTTAGTTGCGGCACATAACTTGGTTGAAGATGTGAAAGAGGAGGTCCACTAGCTGAGCTAGAAGGGCTTGAGTAAGGCACAAAAACCTTGCTTTGAACCACCACACGTTCGCTCGCCTAACGCAGGGTGTATTGTATTTCGTGACAAGAGAGTAGTTGTCTTCTACACGAATGATTTGGCTGCGATACCGTCTGCTGATGTACTCGATGGTAGTACTACTGAAGCTCAGAATTGCTGCCTTGGAGTGGGCTTTGTTCAAAAATGGACTGGGCCGGATATATTCCGACGAGCAGCGATTCCGGCTCCAGCTCAAGTCTGGGCGTACAATGTTTTCTTGAATGCTGATGATCGGTTTGATCAAATCCGCAGCACCAATCCTACACGTCTACGGGAGCTCCGCCTGAACGTGAGCATTTTAACATGGCTTCTTGACATTGCAGTCCACAATGCCTTTGCAATGTATCAAGTTATCGAGCATGGCGAGAGTAACATCCAATCAATTCGAGCAGCATAGGAGAAAATTGTCAACAGGATAGTATCAGCACTGCAGCAGCATAAGCACTCACTTCAGCGGCGAGCGACTTGCTGAGAGACAATAGAAGATATTATCGGGAGCGATTCGTCTCATCACATGCTAACGCGCAGTCGCAGCAAGCTACTTTGCCGCTTGTGCGCATTGCGGGGTGGCAAAATCGAGTCAAATAAGCGTGCACTCGTTGTCGGCTTGGATATCACGTCGAATGATTCATGGCGATGCATTATAAGCACGTGATGGCTAAAAGCACTGCCGTTATGAAGGCACTTGACGCTGCCATACGTACAGCAAGTGAAATGCTCAAAGCCAACACCAGACAGCGACAGAGCACGAGCATTAGCGATGCAAATGAAATTGAGCTGCCACAATTAGTGCTATAAGTACCATCACCTTGGCAGCAAAAGAGAGCGAGGAGGATTCCAGCAAGTAAGTCACAAGTTAGTCGAACACCACCACACCTGCACATAAATACAATACCGTACTAACACTAATAATCTAGTCGTGACAGCGTGCTCTAATCTCCCTCATGACACACTTTGGAGCACGAACGATGCGCGCTTTGACCAGATTGCCAAACGTTAGATACACATAGTGCTGGCACATTGCTCGTCAAATTGTTTTCAATCCTCGCTGTCCACATCGTTGCGGAGCTTGTCGCCGTGCTCGATTAGCACCGTCTGTATTGCTTCCCATTCGCATGGTGTTCACTACACAGCCCGCGAATATCCGAGCTACTGTCGCTGTCGCTGATGTCGCTCATTTTGGCAATGTCTTCTCCCCCAGCCCATCTTCAGTGGGCCTGACACGTGGCCTTGTGGCTTACTCTGATTTGATAGTTGCTTCGTGGCAAATATTTGATTGGTTGTGTTGAAGGCCCCCAGTGGCCCTTTAGCAACAGTTCGGGTCCTAAAGGGCTAAGGGAATCATGCACCATGAAGAAAAAAAAAGCTTGTACCGGAAAGAGTTCGTTCCGTGAGTGGTATCAACTAGTAGAACCTCTGGAAAACTAGTAGAACCTCTGGAAAACTAGAAGAGTGAGCACATGTGCGGTGCTTGGATAGCGATACACCGAGCAATTTTTGTAAACGTCATTGCGAAAGCGCCAAAGCGGCTCGCGTATACTGATATATATCTTTTTAAATGAGACCCCGTAAAACAAATTGATGCTAGCTAATCATTTGTTGAAGTGCGATTTTTGCACGCCGTTAAATAGCGGGACGTCTTCTTTATACAATGTGGGTCTTAAATATTTTTTTTCATTCAGCCGTTTTCGAGAAAAGCGACTTTGAAAAAGTTCCCCCCGGCCTTGCTAAAAACGTTTTAAATATTTTATTGGCCAGCGTAATGCAAAATTTCAAGTGGGATCGATTATAGCGCTCAATTTGCTGTCCTTCGGTGTTAAATCTGGTACTGAAGTTTTGAATCTTCAGAAATCAAAAGTACATTTTGTTTTTGGACATTTGGCAACTAGAACCATTTTGAGCTACGCTGGAGAATCGTACTCGTGTTCTTCCTGAAGCAAGGATTATCCCGTTTCTTTGCAAGGGCGTTTCTTGGTGCGCGACACAGACCACCCGTCAGCAACCTTACTACTAGCCGGGACAGTTTCCTGGCCATCGCGTCCATCTGTTTGTGTAGCCTCCCCGGCAGTCTCAGTCACTCCGGTAGTCTCTTTTGCACGCTTTGCTGTTGCGATGACAGCTTCGCGCTCTCTCTTCTTCTTTTTGAACGCAGTCTGACAATCTTTCTGAATATGCTTTGCTCTGCGCGTGTCCTCATCGTTCGGCGGGTCGAATAATGGATCATTTTGGCTTTTCAAGAACAAATGGGCGGACCTTATTGTAGATGGTCTGAAGCTTCTCAAAATTTGAAAAAGGGTTTGGCAAATACTTTATGTGCGCTGTTAGTAGGACGTGTACGCGGGCAGCGTCCGTAGTGATGCCATCGTACTCGCGACGAAAATCCTGGGCCATTACAGCTGAGTCCGGACTCTTGCGGCATGATCTGCTTCTTCTCCCCGCTTGCATTTTGCGATAGCGAACACAGGAACTGCTCCAGCTCCATAGCCTTCCTCTCCAAGCACTTCTTGTCAGAGGGGTCCTCTCGAATAAGACGCGTGACGATCTAGCGAAGATCTCCGTCAATCAAATTGATGCTACTTGCCATAGTACTGGAATCCCCGTCAATTTGACTGTCAATTGTTAAGATCTCGCTACCACACGAGCCTTCACCCTCTGCGTCTGGTCCTCACTCGCCATCTTCACTGGCATCTTTGCTTCTGCCTCTAGTGTCATTGGGATATTCGTCGCGAGCTACTATAGTGTCATTCTCTGGGACCGTGACGGTGTCTGCGAGCTCCTTCATTGCGGCCGCTTACCACTGACACACCTCCTTTAAGTTTAGAGATTTGACAAAATCCGCTCTCCTGGGAAAATCACTTAAGTGTGAAAACCTAGGGTCAGATGTAAAGGCGATTATTTCAAAAAGTCAAAAATGTTAACTAGCATCAGTTTGTTTTACGGGGTCTCAAATATAACAAAAGTTTCCTTTCCGCCTTTTCGGTCAATATCGATGTGACCTACCGCCGCGGTGTTTTTCTCGTAGATCCGATTCAACGTCTCTGAGACCCTGTCTGAAAGAGTCCTGCCCGTGTCTTCCTCGCGCTACAATTTCGCTAACAGATTATAGACATCAATCATATCCGGCCAATGTAAGTGTAGTACCAAATGAAGCGGAGACTTTTTTCCCTAGAGAGCCCAGCCTTTCTAAGCATGTTCACCATGTTTTTTCGACATTTTGTAGCTGAAGACGGGTCTTGGGTAGACGCATGAACGCCGATCGTCGAAGGCTATGACTGTGCCGATTGTGGCAAGCCGCAGAAAGACATTAGCCTGGACAAAATAAGAGGATCACTTTATTAGCTAGAAAAACCCTGATACCTTTAACAAACCTTAGCTGGACACCCAATCGAGCGAACGTGCTGGCGTGGACTTTTTCCTTCCCCCTGCGTTTGGTGTTTGCCGCTATATGTGCTCTCATAGGATACAATATAGTAAGGGAAAGACTACTCATGGTATAGCTCACGCTCAGGGGCTGGCTCGTCTCTCTCCGAGTATTGTGCATGGACTATCGGGAAAATGACAAAATGTGAGTGGATACACTAAAGTTGTGACAGAAAGTTAAAGGTGTGCCAAAACGTGAGCAAAGTGGGGTCGGTATCGCCAGTAGGTGTACCAAGTGAAACCCGCGTCAGTAAGTGAGGAATTTAGGGAACACACGTCACAATGTGTGCTCCAAATGATTGAATGGCTGAAACAAGGTGGGCCGGACTTAAACCCAAAACCTGTTGTATACTAGTGTTCGACATGCGTATGAGGACCCAAATCTTACACTCTTGTGGAATAGCACACTAAGTATCAGACGACATTGCCTGAACAGACTCAGCGAATACCGAGAGGAGGCGCGTGCCTCGATGGCTCGTGTTTCGCTCTCGCGTGCCTCCAAGACATATCGGCAACCCGACCGGCGACAGTCAGCGGGCGGCACACGCCGGCGACCAGGAGTAGCCGGTGGCACGCGGCTACTGAAGCAGCAGTAGGAAGGACAGGTACTGCTGCCGCAGGAGCTCGTAGATAAGGATAGTTTGAGGACTCTTTGACTAATCCCACTTCGCAACTTGGTATACAGCGCGCAGTACGTCATAACTCTTAAGTCCCAAAGCCACTTATTACGACTGAGGGACGCAAAATGACGGAGGACATCGACGACATCGCTGATGGATTGGACAGCGGTGATGAGGAAATAACTATTCAAGTCGGAATGACTTTTGATACTGCTTCACATGCTCTTCATGCTGTTCAAGACTACGCCTTATCTCATGGGAGGTCTGTACAGTACGAGTTTTACGTGCGTGTCTATACTCAGTACTGCGACCTCTGCAGCATAACATGGTTTCATGCAATATCAGTGTCTGGTGAGCCACAAGAATACACCGCTCCACGCTAGCCCCCTGAGTCAGAATAATTAGCGCGAGTTAACCTGACTTTCTCCTTGAGTCAGAATAACTCGCGCGAATTATTCTGACTTTCTCCTTGAGTCAGAATAACTCGCGCGAATTATTCTGACTTTCTACCCGATTCAGATTAAGTCGCGCGAGTTAATCTGAATTATCTGAGTCTGATTCGTTTTGAACGGCTGGTTCCGATGGCCAATCCCAAATTAAGGGCGCGATGTCCAAGCGCACGTGCACCCAGCAGACGCTTCGCGAGAGCTAAACGTCAAGGAGCCTACCCTGCGGGGATAAAAACAACAGTATTGGGATAAACTAGACTGGGGGTTCTGTGATTCCCGGTATCGTCTCCCAATTGGGATTGGCCAACAAGGGATTTGCTGAATGCCAAGTTGCGACAGTAAGTGAGTCGGTACGAAAGCTGTGTTCACCATCTTCGTCTGTGATCATTTTACACTTTCTGTCACAATTTTCATGTATCCACTCACCTGGTGTCATTTTCCCTGGACTATCCGGTTACGCGCGGCACGACTGGCAAACGTCCTTTTCACGTAGGTCTATACCAAATGATTTATACTTACTACAACCCCGCTCATATGACCTCAGCTTACGGCATACTTCTCATTCGAACCTGGCATGTCGTCGCGCTGTACGTCTTCAGCGTAGCAGTGAATGCGTCTCACGTCCCGTGCGTCTCGCTAATGAGATGTGACACCGAAGTATGCACGTCTTCTCTGCTTCGTCGGAGGACTCCGCGTTTGATTCTGGGTGGGATCCAGCCTCGTTCTCGAAGGCATACTCTTCCGGCGCTTCGTTAACTGCTGCGGATTGGCACTTCTTCGCTCTCATTGTGGCTCTGCTGGTCCTGGCACGACGATGTCGCGTGTTGTGGAGCTCGGAGATTTCTGAATGAGCCGTAGCCACAAAAGCTGACACGTAATATAACGTTTGCATCAAGGCTATCGAACGGCGTGTTTTCGAGGCTTCCATTAACCGGGTCTCTATAAGCAATTCCTAAGATTGTGATATACTGACGGCTTCTCTTGTTGTGTAATAGTCACTCTCATCTTGATGCACTTACCAAAACGCAGTATAGTCGCCACTCCCCTTTTCAAATTTGCAGGGCTCTCTCTTTTCGGTCAAAGTAGCACGATTTCGAAAATACCACCCGCTCATCCGGATACCTCCTTATTTTCTCTGACATAAATTTTAGAGCGTCATTTTTAAAAAACGAACTCGTAAAAAATCTTAGCTACATAGGACGTTTTTGGTAGGCGCGGTAGCCGCCTCTGCTACCGTGGTTCCGAATTGGTCGGACCAACAAACGGGATTCATTAAAGTAACACCGGTAGTGATCAGTAGCACTGGAAGCGCCTTTTCGTAAATTACGCGTAATTTACTTTGAGGAAGATCGCCTCCATGAAAGGTCGGATTCTCCACTCGTGAATTCATCCTGAAAAGGCGGCTCATCATTTCGAATCTTCCTGCTCGAGCTCAAGTCTGGAGAAATCTATGACCAGGTAAGCTCGATCAAGCTCATGTCTGACGGTAATTACTAAGATTTAGTTTGTGTGCGGAGTGAAGGACTGCGTGACTGCTGTAGATGACCAAGTGATTGCGAGGATGTGGAACTAACTTGGCTCAATCATTCCGTTACCTCGGGCGAGGGCGAGCAAACGCGAGCGCGAGCCTCCCTCCCTCCATACACGCTCTGCCAACGCTCGCCGATCTGGCGGGGCTGTTGTAGCGACCGAGCGCTGCAACCCGTATATTGTCTAGACACGGTGCCTGATGATTACTAACGCGCGAGTGGCTTCCCAATTCTAGCCTATTAATAAGGGTTCACCTTCAACTGTCTGCATGCTATCGTGGAATAAACATGTATGTGTGGAGGATTTTCGATTGCACAAATGATGTTTTGTTTGTGAACAGCTCTTGAGAAGGATCTTTTACAGATTTTGCTGTGTCGGTTACAGCTTTGGAAAATAAATTTATTCGAGCGGTCGCTTGCGACTCTTGGTTGAAAACGATTTGAAGCGGCCAACTGGATGTACACGCCAACACATACTCTTCATTATCGAATTTGTCAAACCTATTGGTGGTGGCTGTACTGTGGTTGGGTGCGCAGCTCCACGACAGTAATATGCACGACACCAAGGCGCTGCTGGTGTCAAGCGCTGCCAGACACAGTCGTGTCCTCGCCGCTCCGTCACATAGTGTCGGATGCTCGAGGTTAGCCAGTTTATTAGTTTTAAAGAGGTGTTTGCGCAGCGGCGAAAGAATCTCGACAGACATTGTCGTGGGCTTGACACGCAGTACGCGGCTACTTATACCAAGGCGGTGAACACGTACCCACAGAGCTATAGTCCAAAACGTTTGATGGCAAGAGCACGTTGTGGAGTTCTCGGCGGTTGGCAAGATCTTGGCGGCCGCGACTGTTGGCTAGCTTGCAAGACAGCTTTGGTCATTTAAATATTTTACCGTAAAAAAGGTGTCAGTGATACTGATAGGTAACACTGCCAGTGCTCAATATTGTGAGCTCTACTCCAATTTGCGGATCGCGGCTGCTTCAATAGACCATGACCTTTCGACGGCCAATTACAGACCTATTATATTGACTATACGAATATGCAGTCTTTCACTCTTTTCGAGCTAGTTCTGAAGCTTCCGCATTCCTCGGAGGGCAAGGTGCGTGCTGCCTTCTAGCTTGCTACCTAACATCATGCGCTCTCAAAGTCGTACCAAGACCGTTCTCAGCCAACACGAGGATCTCCGAGATTGACGCCTCCGTCGTCAAACGAAAAGGCCCGCTGGGTACAGGAAGATCACCAAGGCTGACGTCCTTTCGCGCTGGACAAGCATCCGACCGTAGCACACAGTAGAATACCAACGATTGACGTCGGCTGTGTCACATCTTGCCCCAGTCTCAGCTATGAGACGGTCACCGCGCCGTACACCTCCGACAGCAGCGCCGGGTGAACATTCACTGCCTTCCTGCTGAAATTTCTGTACTAGCTAGGTACCTTCAAATTTCGCTAGAGTGAATCATCGCCACGACGCTCTTCCTGATCGATACGGTTATTGCCACGTCCTGGGATACTGACGCGGCTGACGTAGAGGCTTCTTCGTTCTATTTCCGCTAAATGTTCGCCCGATTATCAATTTAGCAATATACCCAGTTGCGTATAATGGATTCTCCTTTGCAGACATTCTGCGCAAAATGGGAACGTGCCGGCTCTCATGCAAAGGGCCGAGTAGTCGAAAATGAGAGCGAATGGTCGGTGGCTGTACCATCAATGGAGGATTGGACCAAACTTATGCAGCTCAAGTCGAAAAGACACATCGTAGACTACACAAAGTCGCAGCACCAGCTGAAACATGGCTTACAGCTGTGAATGGCGAGGCTGTAGTCCTTGGTGTATGAGTCCGGAGCTCGAGCCCTTGACAAAGCTGTACTTGCCGTGTGGTGTCGAGCAAATGCGGCGGCTTGCACAAGAGGGAGCTACTTTATGATAGGTTATTACCCCTTAGTTCCCGCATGTTGGACCGCTCAACATAACGGGTGTATCTTGTTTTTGGGCATCTATGTTATGTTGGAGGACCAACATAAGCGAAAGTCATACTTGTTTTTTGTATTGGAACAGATCTATTGAGATCGGCATACTGAAGTCAAAGTAGTATTATGGGTTCAAGACGAGCCATTGCACAGGGCTCGGGGTTTTGGATCAAAAGTGTGACAAAGTAAAAGCACGCCATTCCCGTTTAAACTGGTGGCCGCCAGCCCAAATCTCTCCTCATCCTTCAATTTCGCAGCTTGCACGTAAGACCAAAAGCGATGGTCGCTACGGCAGGTAAAGGGCAACTCGGGCGGACACCACGGACCACGGAGCCAGGACACACTGCAGGAGAGACAAAGGAGCGACACGCGTAGCTGCTGACCAAGCTCAGCGATCGACACCGCCGCCATCTTCTTCGGGACAGCGCAGCGCTGAGCCGATTTGTGGCGCTTGCAGAGCGCAAAGTGGTGGCACCACGTCATCGTGACGGTACTGCTCATGCGTGCCTATACATTGATGAAAGCGGTAGTGCTGACTCTGTTGTGTTGTAGGTGCTC